GGAAGGGAGGGAATCGGCTCCGCTCTACGTCACGCCGTGAGTCAATGTACAAACGTAAATTCCTCTTAGAAATATGAAATCCAACGCTTTGCTTTGGAAATGCTTAAAGCTGAGGCAACGCTGACACTCATTCAGAATGATTCCCCTCGTTTCGCTCGGAGAAAGCCCCTCACGGGCAAGGGGTCCCTTTGCAGGGGGAACAAAACCCACCAATATATGGATATTAGACGAAATAAGCTCTCTTCGGTTGCACGGGGTGAGGGGACGCTTCCCGCCGGGCAATGCTCGCACAGTGCCTCTTTATGCTGCCCCGAGCGCTGCAGGCGCCGGGTTGAGAACACCCGGGACGGGGATCGGGGTGCGGGGTGCTTTCGGGGTAGGGGGGTTGCTTTGCGGGGTGTTCAGTCCCGTGGAGCCAGAGGAAGGAGGATGGGGAAAGGGGGAAGAAAATGGGGTGGAAATTGGGGGAGGGAAGGGATCAACGCTGTGCTCCGGGGAGGGATTGGAAGGGGGTGGAGTGTGGGAGTTGGTGGCGCGGAGCTCTTTGAGGCCGTGCTGGGAGGGAAGGATGGGGTCCGGGTGCTCCATAGGGTGCCAGGATGTCTTCCCCGCGGAGGCGAAGTAGTTTTGCGACAGTGTCCCAGGAGCTCCGTGCCTGCAGGGAACGGCAGCTCCCTCCTTCCCTCCCTCTGCCTCCTTGCTTCCTCCTCCCCCAGCCCACCTCTCTCACCCAGTCCGTTATCAGAGCGGCACTAAGCGCCATTCCCCCTCGCATCTGCAGCCAAAGTTTGTGACGGGCTCCAAAGTACCCTCACCTTCATCCGCACTCCTCTTCGTGCCCTCGCTGCCCTCACAGTACGGGAGGGGCCGCTCCCCACCTGCGACGGGACGGGTCCGGCAACCCCCGCGCCCCTGTGTGGGCCGTCGGCTGGGTCCCCAGGGGGGAGGAGCTGCGATCTGTACTGCTTCTTTTTATTTTTTTTTCCCCCCACTTTTTTCCTCCTTTCCTTTTCCGATGCTTTGTTTCCCATTTTGCATTGGGAGAGACCCTGAGGCGGGTGCCCTCACGCCCGTGCTCCCCAACAGGCCGCCTCCTCGCAGCCGTCGGTGCCGTCGAGCTGCTCATTTTCCGCGCTGCCGGAGCCGGGGCGGGGGGGAGGGGGGAGGGGAACGGCTGACCCGGGGGGGCAGGAGAAACGGGAGTGCCACGGGGTTTCCCTCCCTCTGGCAGCTGTTTTTTTTTGGGGGGGGGGGGGGGGGGGGGTTTGTCCTGGTCCTCGAGGACAGGAGCCACAGGCGTAGCAGCAGGGCGCGAGGCTGGGAACTGGGAGAGCGGTCCGGGGAGGGCAAACTCTGGCAGCCGAAGTGCAGTGAACATCGCCGAGCATAAGCATAAGCTCCGACGCAGGCACATGGCTGAGTGTGGCTCCGGAATCCGCTTTTTTTCCTTTCTTTCTTTTTTTTTTTTTTCTTTAAGACATTGCTCCCACGTCTCCCGTTTGCCCGCATTATTAATGCGGGGCCGTGTGATGCGCACGGAGCGTTCGTGCTGACAGCTCCGCGTGTTACGATGCTCAGCGTCCGTGGCCCCTCCGCCAGCTCTGGGGGAAGGACGCGGCCGAGGCACAGAGGCACAACAACTCGCGCTGCCGACACCCAGCGATCCATCCCTGTCCCCTCCATCATCACTTCCAATTCGCGCAGGGGGAAATTGATTTTTTAAAGCCCTTTATTAATTGCTTCCTCGATTATTTCCCCCCTCCTCCCGCGGAGGTGTTAACTCTGCTGCCGCGGGTTCCTTCGGATTCATTACGCGTATCAGTGGGGCTTTAACGCTGCGCTCATTCCCAGCTCTCTCCCCGAAAAAGGACGAGGTTCCGCGCTCGGGCCGGAACCTCCGCAACGGGCAGCGCGGGGCGGCGGCGTGGGGCTGCTCCGGGGCCAGGGGACGTTGGCACCGAACGGAGCTAGGGCAGAATCCCGAAAGCGAACCGGATCCGTGCTTAAAGCCGGAGGGGTGGGTGCCGTAAAAAAAAAAAAAAAAAAAAAAAAAAAAAAAAAAAAAAAAAAAAAAAAAAAAAAAAAGAAAAATAAAAAAAAGAGAGAGAGAGAGAGAAAGGGAGGCAAAAAAAAATAAAAAAAAAAAAAGGAGAGAGGCAGACGATGTCGCGCTCCATTTGCCGTGTACGAACTCCCGTGCTAACACACCGCCCCGCACGCACGCAGCAGGACAGCTCCGCAGCCACACACACGCGTTTCCCGCAGCGGCACCTCCGCGCATCGCGCTGACATTGACACCACACGACGGACCGCGCCGTGTCCGCTCCCCCCCCCTCACCTCCGTTCTCGCTCCCCCCGACCCCACGTACCGCTCTTGGCCCGCGCACCCCCAGCGCACGGCAGCGTTGTGCCCGGCCGGTTGCGGTGTTGACCATTGAATTACGCTGAATCCGGCGGCATTCCCAAAGAGCGCGACAAAAGCACCTCGGCAGCTTTTTTATTCGTTACCTTCTTTTTATTGAACAATGTTTTTCTGTTCGTCTCGCTCCCGTGGCCGCGGGAGCGCAGCCGCCGCCGGGCTCGGTCCGGTTCCGCTCGGAGACGGGCGATCGCTTTCCCCTTCCCGCAGACGGATGGGGGGGTTTGGGGTTTCTCTCCGTCCCCCCCTCCCTCCCGCTCCTCTCTCCCTCTTTTTCCCTTTCGCCTCCCTAAATCAAGGTGCGGAGATGCCAAGCGGTGATGAAACGAGAAGAAAGCCAATTGCTGGCCTGAGGTGGGGGAGATCGCTGCTGGGAGTCCGCCCGCGACCACGGAGCGGGCGGTAATTGCTGCAGACGGGGAGCGGGGGGCTGGGCGGAGGTGGCCATGTATAAATAGTGTGATCTCAAATTGAAAGGCATAAATAACAGCGGGAGTGAGCTCACCCCGCACAGCCCATCTTCCGCCGCACGCTGCGTGCGGGGAGCGCGGCCGAGGCCGGGGGATCCGTGTGGATAGCAGCGCGGGCAGCCATGGAAGAACTCACGGCTTTTGTATCCAAATCTTTCGACCAGAAAAGCAAAGAGAGCGGCGGCGGCGGCGGCGGCGGCAACAAGAAGGAGACCATCACGTATCGGGAAGTTTTGGAGAGTGGGTTGGCTCGCTCCAGGGAGCTTGGGAACTCCGATTCGGCGCTGCCGGACATGACCGAGGGCAGCAATCATTGCCCCGTGCACCTTTTCAAGGACCACGTAGAAAGCGACAAGGACAAGCTGAAGGAGTTTGCCGCGGGCAGGACGGCGGAAGGTAAGAGCGGGGCCCCCCGCCCGCTCCCGGCCCTCGAAACCCCAGCTCGGTGGGCCCGACCCCCCCTCCCCGAGCACCGCAGCGTACGTCCGCGCACCGCGCACGGCACCGTGCGGAGAGAGCCGCAACTTCGGGCCTCCCCCGACCCCTCGCACGGGGCATTTCGCCCATCCGCGCGGATCAGTGCGGGCGAAGCGCGCCCGCGGGGTTCAGTGCTTCCGAGCAGTCGGTGCGCTGCGGTGCGGGGAGAGCCCCGCATCCCGAATGCCCCCCGCTCATCACCTGAACCGGGCCGGGCCGGGGGGACGCGGCGGTCCCGCGTTTCGGGAAGGAATTGACATTAAAGGCGGTTTCCGAGCTGAAATCATGGCCACGCTCGTAGGGAGAGAATTAAAAAGGGAGTGTGTGTGTGAGGAGGGGGGGGATAGAAAGTTGAGAAAGTGTCTCCGGGTGGTGGGACAGGTGGGCCCGCCCGGGAGCTGCCGGCAGAGGGGCAACAAAAGCGGTTTATAGGTGGGGAACAGCGAGAGGCCTCTCAGCCTCTTCCTTCTGTTTGATCTCGTTTAGTAGAACACGGGGTGAAAGGCAGTTTAATATGCAGGCCCAGCGTTGGTTTCGTACCCTTCCCTTTTCCACCTTGGAAGCGATGGGCTCAGCCCCACGTCCCCCATTTCGGCCACAGCCGGTACCCGCAAAGCACTGCCGGGATCGGGAGCGGGGCTGCGCGGCACAGGGAGCCCTCAGCGGAATTACCGAGAGGGAGAGGGTTGGGAAATGAGACCGGGATACAGCAGGGGGAAAAAAAAAATCTTAATAAGCAAACAAACAAGTAAATAAATAAATAATCAAACAAACAAACAAAAAAAAAGAGAGAGAGAGAGAGAAAGAGAAAAATAAAAAAGGAGAAAAAAATAAAAAGAAAAGGAGAAATAAAAAACAGAAAGAAAGAAAAGAGAACGAGTGAAAAAACAGATCTCCCTGCTACTGCCCCTTTTCCTCGTGTATCGAAATCCTGGCTGTGTGTTTAGCTAATCTCATCTATGGCGAGGGGCCGGGGGTGGGGATGGAAGGGAGGAGTTGGAGCGCACGGAGGTGCCTGTGACAGCTTAAATTCACGCCAGGTTGCAGTCGGATTTCAACTGATTCCTGCGTGTGACTTCAGTGTTGTTAATATTTTATAGCCAGTGCGGATGTGCTGTAGACCCGTATCTCCGAAAGGAGACACAGCTCTTGGGAGCGGCCCGTTCTCGCTGTCGGCATTTGCTGGGTCCGTATCCCGGCTCCTGACAGGGGTTCAAATGCACCCTGAGCAGCCGACACCTCCTGGCCGGACCCTTCCCAGAGCTGTGCGGGGAGCGGACGGGCAGAAGTGAAGGCAGAGCTCTCAGCCCGGTGCTAGATCTGCTTCAGCACAGACACGGCTCGGGACGGTCTGTGAAGGTCAATGAAGTGACGCTGTGCAGTCGGTCATCTGAATTTCTCTGTGCTCTAATCTTATGGGCTTGTAGATATGTACATGTATATGTATGTGAGTGTATACGGATGTGTGTACGTATGTATGTGTGTATTTATTATCTGTGTATATGTATAAAACGTACGCACTTGGTGAAGAAAAACGGCCCCGACCTGGAACTCGCGGGGCAGGGGGGTCCCGGGCACTGCTTCTCTATCACCCCCCTCCCTCCCCCCCCAGCACCGCTTACCTTCCCGTTAGTCCAGTTTATAAGGGCTTTAGGCCTCCCGGCACTGAGGAGAGTAAGGAGGAAAGAGGGAAATAAAGCCTCTCTGCGGATAAGGAGGGAGTGTTTGGAGGATCTGGGGATACTTCCAGCCCTGAGCCCTTTGCTCACGCCGTGCCTAGTGGGGGGAAAGGGAGGCGGTAAGGGGGAAAGGGTTCCGGTGTCAGCCCATGGAAAGTTTCGTTACGAGGCGAACAGTTCCATCGTGGCTTCACCGTGATAGCGGCGGGGAGCTGCTTACACAGCCCAGTTTACTTCGGGAGAAAAGAGGAAAGCAGAAATCCCATTTCACCACCGCGAGATAGCAGGGCCTCAAGAAAGCAAAGGGAAATTAAGTATATGTACAGAAGTGAATATCTCGATTTTCTGTCGGGAATCGGCCGTATTCAGTCCGCCGGCGGCCCCCGGCCCAGCCCCGACGGCGCGGCCCGACCCGGCCCAGCGCTGCTCGGCAGCCGGCGCCCGGCGGGGTCCCCGCAGGTGGGGATCGGAGAGGGAGGGGGGAGAGCGGAGCGGTGCCGAGGGGCTCAGTGTTGTTATCTCCTCCCGCAGGGATCTATGAGTGCAAGGAGAAGCGGGAGGACGTGAAGTCGGAGGACGAGGACGGCCAGACCAAGCTGAAACAAAGGAGAAGCAGAACCAATTTCACACTAGAGCAGCTGAACGAGCTGGAAAGACTTTTTGATGAGACTCACTACCCGGATGCCTTCATGCGGGAGGAACTAAGCCAGAGGCTGGGACTGTCTGAAGCTAGGGTGCAGGTAAGAGAAAGGCTCTATGTCTGGAAGCGTCACTGCTCGCTGCCGGCGTATCCCAGCGCGGTGTCCGCTCCGTCCCGAGCGGGAGGCGGAGGAGACGAGTGCTGTACCGTCCTGACACCCTGCCCTGCCCGAGGGCAGCTACTCGCTCCTTTCATTGCCTAGGAACGCGATTTAATGATTTTTTAAACAATTATTATTATCGTTATTGACTGGGGGAGTGGTGGTGACGATGTGTCTCTAGGAACTGCGCGATTGGTTTTATTATTATTATTATTTCATTTGTCATCCTACTTTCCCTTGCAAACGCGTCATTAACTCTCTCTTAATCCTCATTTCTTCCCCCGCTTCCTTTCATGGGGCCGTTAGGAAAAAAAAAAAAAAAAAAAAAAAAAAGCTCCGACCATAATCGCCGTGCGCGGGGCCGGGTGCTCGGGGACGGGATTAGCGGGGCGGGGGGAAGGTGTCCCTCCGCCTCACGCAGCGTATGAATGCATGGCACCCATCTGCCGAGTCCCCCCTTCCCCCCTCCGGACGCAGCTAAACACCAATTAGCCCCCTAAGCTCTGCCAACAGGTCCGGGTGCTGCGCCTTCTGGGGCCGTCGGGGCCGCCAGCCTCGGGGGCTCTGTCCTCGGCAACGATTGTTTTTAGCTCGGTTCCCGGCTGGGTACGAGGGAAATACACCCCCTCCCCAAAGCTGACGGCAAGGAGGGAGTGCGTCTCCACAACAGAGGTTTCGTAATCAAACCCAGAACCCCAGGAATAATTAATGGCACCAACCTGTGGCTCCGTGAGGGACACCGCCTCGCTAAGCCAGAACTCGGTGCTCAGAGACCCAACCTCAAACCCCCAAAAAGTTCCCACCCGTACCCTCCGAACGAACGAACCACCCCGGGAGCAGGGGATGCGCGTTTCTAAGGACATCGAGCAGGGTCCCAGAGGTGCCGTAGGCACCCGTCGCAGCTCGAGCCCTGCGGGGGAGCGGGCCGCTGCTTTTCCCGTCCCTAAGGCCCCGCTGGGAGCCCGTGGGCAGGGACTGCTCCTCCCGCACCCCCCTCTGTGTGACAAGCGGCCGCCTCGCTTTAACAGCCGCCTCCTGGAGGCATGTCCCGAATTCAGTAGCGAAGCCGGGCGGTTTGCGTTCACGCTTTGGCTTCTGGAGGATCTTCGTTCCCCCTCCCGCAACCCCCCCCCCCCACCTCAGCCCGTGTTTCCCCGGTGTGAGCGGCTGCTGAGCGTGCGGGGGATCGTGGGGTGCTGAGCGCTGCCGGCCGGCGCCCTCCCGGAAGATTGATCTCAGCACACCATATAAATTAATGAAAAGATTAAACTTTTGCTGAAGGGGACATCAACTCTTATGTCATCTTCCCAGATCTTCTTACTTGGGCTCTGTAATATCTTTCCGAGGCCTTGATGTACTGTTTCTATAAAAATAAATTACTTGTAATTGAATTCTGCACTCTTTCTTTCAAGTACTTTATTACTGAGCAGCACCTTAACAGGATGTGCAGAGTTGCAGGGAAATTGGTGCTTCGAGTGCTCGCAGAGCTTCAAACAGCACCAAAAGAAAAAAAAGAGAGAGAGAGAGAGAGGGAGGAAAAAAAGGCAACGCTGGTTCAGGCTATGAGAAAGACAATATATATATATGTATATTAAAAGGATGTTCTCGTGAATGAAAATAACGCTAGAAAGGAAAGAAATATCAAGAGGGAAAAGAGGAGAGATGGATAATTAATTAAGAAATAAACAGAGCGTGGTATCCATCAGGAGATGGAAGTGGTAAAAAAGCAGAAAGGGAGGGGAAAGGGAAAGATTTTCGTAATATTTTCAGAACTGTTCTCTAATTCCTCTCTGAAGCGCCTGTCCCTTGCTGTTAAAGGATATAGTTTCAATTTAGCGTGGAAATTTGCTGTAAATAAATTGGAGCTCCTATGGTAGCTAGTCCTTATTAACCTTTTATTTTTAGTGTTGTACTGGAAACTCATATCAGCCAGCTGTCAGGGTTATAATTGAAAGTTATGAGACCGTAGTGAGGAGCAGGCAGTAATTCAATTACAACAAATATCTTTGGGTTTATGGTGCAGGGCTAAATTAAATGTCATTATTCACTGTCTCTAATGGAAATCAAAAGGAAATCAGATTAGAGCATTTGTGAAAGAAATCACTGAGTGATCCTTAATGAAGAAATAACTGTCTAAAACAGTGTACTGCGCTTTACTTAGCATATTCATGACTAATTGGAATTGATCGCGAATCACACCGAGCCTGATTTATTATCGCTTAACGCGGCGGCTAATTCATCACTTTTATACCTCATAACCTTATTTTTTCATAGCTAAAGGGAAAGGGCACTTCGTTTTCCAGATTTAAATACAATTTCTGCTTGAAAGATGTTCCGATTTGCAGAAGAAGTTGTTTAAACGCTGCTTAAATTCCTCCTGACAATTTATACTTCTTTGGCGAGGCAGCGAGAGCGGGGGCTGGGGGGGGGGGGGGGGGGGGGGGG